GGGGGGGTGCGTAAGCTCTTTTGTGTGCGCTGCGGACATATGGATGGAAGGAGACCCGACGTGAGAATGAAGGACGCATGGCAGACAGAAAGATAGACAGAGACAGACACGGGAACACACCAGCCGACGCTCGTTGAAGTAGTGTAGATCTTTTGCCATTCAGCTCGCGAAACGGTCGTAAATCCTTCTCCGTTCACCAGAACACGACGATATCCTCACTCACAGCCCCGATGCCTCATCCGTCAAAAGGCGGTCGTCCGTCCGTCATGTCGTCGGCTCGGCAGCACGCTGCTTTCTTGCCGACACGGGCTGGTTGGAGGTTTTTCGTCATGGTTTCTCTCATGTTATGTGGGCACATCTGCTGCGCGGACAGGAACGGGGTCAGGGAACCGATGGCACGATGGGTGGCACACCACAAGCATGACTATCTCCCTCGCTGCCCCGTTTCCCATCTGTGTGCTGCCAGGGCTCTTTCCTTCACGAGCCCCAGATCGGTGGAAAGGGCGCCGCATACTTCGACTACATTGTGGTGCGAACAAAGACACGGCCTCCACAGACAAAGACAAAGAAATGATGAAATGCATGATGCTCTTCTTGCGTGCGTGAGTTGGTCAGGTGGGAGGCGGTGCTGCGGGGTGTCCCCTGGCCTTCACTCTGGCTGAGGATGGCTACCACGTCCTGCTGATCGAGAGGGGCGGCAAACTCGAGGAGCACCCCGAGGCGCTCACACCGTGGGGGTGGGGGCCGGGGCTGAACAACCCGGACCTCGCTCAGCAGATCCGCACCATCGACAGGACCATCACACACGTGGGCAATGTCCTCTCGGGCGGGACGGCTCTCACAGCCGGTCTGCAGATAGCCGAGGTGGCCGAGTACTTTGACTACCTGGAACATGAATTGGCGCACATTTCGATCAGCGTCTTGTGGACGAGGTGGCAAGGAACCACACACACCACGAGGCGTGAGGCAGCCGTGAGGGTCTGTCGGGCATTCTCTCTCTCTCTCTCTCTCTCTCTCCGTGTGTGTGTGTCCTTTGCTATGTCAGTCGTACAGGTGGGTATTCGATCAGACGTCTCAGCCAATGGGCAAGAGTGAGCCATACAGCTCCGCGGCCAGAAAGGCGCAGGAGGCCGTGGGCTTCAACCCCGTCACCGATCCGTCCCCCTACATCACTGTCGGCTCATTCCGCACCTACTCCCGCTTCGAGGACGACGGAGGCGTCCTGTCCCCCTATCGGAAGCGCTTCGGTGCCGACGTGCTGCTCAAGGGCCCCCTCGCTGACCCGCCCGGCACCCCCGCCTCCCTGGAGGTCATGCTGCGCAAGACCGTCCTGCGCATCGAGTTTGACACCAGTGGCGAGCAGCCTCGTGCCACATGTATTGAGTACGTCGACTCACCAGGACCTCCAGAGTCCATCGACTCCTATGGGAATCGTGCGGGGTTCTCAAGCAAGGATGGCCCCAAGACCATCATGACGTCAAGCGTGCGTGCATTAACCCCGGCGGGGAGATCTTCCTGTCGACTGGAGCGATCATGACACCCGTCTTGTTGATGAACAGTGGTGTCGGCCCTTTCGAGGTGGTCAGCAAGGTGATGGCCAACAAGGGTGGCGAGGTGGTGATGGACATACCGCAGCTGGGGAGCAACCTGCACGACCGCTTCTTCACGCCGCTGATGGTCTTCCTTGAGCATGACACAATTCCTGAAGACAAAGAGTATCAGTATCAGAACGTGACACTGGGCACCTACACAGGCTTCGAGAAGATGGGCGTAGACTGTCCAACCGACTTTGGGTGGGTCGGTGAGACAACGTAGCGATGGAGTGGAGTGGAGTGCTGGAAACAATGGACCTGGTGTGTGTGCCCGTGTCTGTGCAGCATTGGCGACGTGAGCATGGACTGCATGTACGTCAACTCCGAGGAGGGATCAGGCTTCTCTGCGCTTGGTCTGTTCCTGGCCACTCGAGCATTCCTTCCCACTGCACTCCGCACCACACCGTACGTACGCATGAGTGTCACGCCCACAAGTGCTCGGATGTGATTGATGTGATGTCTGTGGCTTGGTGTTTGTCTGTCTGTCTTGCTGCAGCGAGACGGACTTGCTCGTGTCGGTGGTGTCGGCGTGCAATTCCAACCAGGACAGCCTCCTGTGTCTCCCTCTCAGGCCGGTCTTCGATTGCTTGAAGTAAGTTAGTCCACACAAAGAGACGGGCGCACGCATGCAACGCCATGAATGCAGGAAGGTGGTAGGGTTTATGTCTTTCCCGCCGGTGCCCAAGTCGAGGGGCCACGTCACGGTGAATGAGTGGGGCGCGCCGATCGTCTTCGGCAACTATTTCGGTGACCATGAAGGGCTTGACATCCACAGTGCCGTCATGGGACTCACTACATCCATACGGGTGGGTGGAATGGACGAGCACAGCACAGCAACGATGCGTTCATGACGGCCTGTCTGCTGCCTGCAGATGGTGGGCAGCGGCGAGTTTGACGGCGTCTTGCAGGAAAAAAACATTTTCAACTGCCCCGGGACGATCTTCACCCACCTGCTGGACATGATCCTCATCGCAACACGTCCCCTTGCCGGCATCCGCCACCTGAAGGCCTCATACGAAGAAGCCGCTGGCCCAGACAGACAGCAGTATGAGAATTTCGTGCACCAAAGACGGCTGGAGATGGAGATGGAGGCGAAACAGAGAGAGGAGGGGGAGGCGGCCTCTCGGTGGCTGGGGGCAGAGTCCGATGTCGCCAAGTGGCTGACCGAGCAAGTCGAGATGGCCAAGGGATCCACCGCACCGGCACGCTCACTACAAGTACGCCACCCCGGAAAGGCCATCAACATGAAACGGTCTCTCCCTGTTGGCCTCTGTGTCTGTGTGTCTGCCTGTCTTCAGGAGGACGACATGGGGTCGTGGCGAGATGACGTGTGCGCGAAGGATAATCATGGGCATGATTGTATGGCGGCCCAGTTTGAAGCAGCAAGACGCTTTGCAGTGGTGCCCCCACTGCCAGCAGGTCAGCGAGCCACCGAGGCAGCCATGTGTGTGTGTGTGTTGGGTGGATTTGTGTGTGCCACCAGATTTGTGGGATGCGGAGGAATTGGGAAAGTTCGTCAAGTCCGCAGGAACAGGGGTCTGGCATTGGGTGGGTTCGGCGGCGATGGGCACTGTGGTGGACTCCGACTTCCGCGTCTACGGCATCGATTCCCTCTCCATATGCGACGCGTCGGTCCTCCCGCAGGTAGGCGGGCCGGTCGGCCAACCGACGAGTGGATGCCACGCACGAGCGCTAACTCACACCTTCCCCTGTTCTCCAAAAATGCAGGTGACCCGGCTGAACGTGCAGGCGACCGTGCTGATGCTCGGCAGATATGCAGGCCTGCGCCGGAGACGTGAGAAGAAACATACAGGCGTCCACCACCGGGAACTCTAGCTAGAGCTAGAGCTAGATTTAAGGCCATCAAGACAGCACTCACTGGTGTCTGTCTGTGTCTTCGCTGCGCAAGATGGGATGGATGGGGGGTGGGGGGACATAGGCCGTTCTTTGTCGTAGTCGATAGAGCCTGGTCTGTCGTGTTGAATACTGTGGCGATTTTGCAGCTTGCTGACAGACAAGAGAGACATGGGGGGGGCATGCAAACACACAATACACACAAATGAGAGAGACCGCAACAAACGAACGGCGAGCTGTGCTGTATACACATTTGGTTATCATCCATACTGGAGATGCGCACAAGGAAATAAATCGATGCGTGTTCGCTGGATGAATGTGTGAGTCACCCACCACCCTTGTGACTGCGTGTCTACCACCAGCTGCGCCCCCACCCTTATTGAGGAGGGATATTGTCGGGACATTACGGATTGAATCGATGATAATCTGAACGTGCGAGTTGTCGTCAGACTTCCAGCCTATCTACTGCACGCATTCCACGAATGTGTGGGTGTGTCTGCCGTGTGCTGCTGACACGCGCACACACAAAATTCGCAAACCCCGCGCATATTGAGTGCTTCAGTGGACACGCCAGCCACCCCTTGACGCACTTGCAATGGGAAGAAGCCTCCCGCGATCGGCAATGAATGCGAGCTTAGATATTCAAAGAGGCAGGCGCGGAAAATGGCAGATCCCCTCGCAGAGAGGCTCACAGGAAGGCCACACGAGCAGCGAGAAGCAGCCAGAAGATCAAATAAGTCGCCATCTCTGTCTGTCTGTCTGTCTGGCTGAGTATATGTGCAGGGATGGGAGTGTGGCTTTGTGGGCGTGATGGTTCTTATCTATTATGGAGTATATGGAGACCACTCATTGCCACTCATCAAAGGGGGGGAGGATACGTGTGCAAATCACCGCCATCGACAAGCTCTTTGTGTGGTTTGGCTGATGGTGTCTGCCCTCGACGGATGCGTCCGAGGCTCATTCGGGCGTCGGAGGATTGCTCTCGGCTTGCCCCTGCCTGCATCCCTTCTTTGCCTTTCTGTCTGACCTCCCTCTCCCATTGTCGTCCATCTCTGCAGGCACGTGTTTCCCTCTCTGGCTGTGGCCCGGTCCACCCAACACATGAATCAGGTGCGGAGAGACGGAGAGAGAGGGGCGCCATCTGGTTTGGTGGATGTACCTGTGTGTGTGTCTGCAGAGAATGTGGCCACCCTCCTGAACACCCTCAGCAACGCCACCCACTCTGCCGTCATCACCGTGCTGCTGCGGTGCGACCTCCACACACACACACACACACACACACACAGAGAGAGAGAGAGAGAGAGAGAGATGAGCATGTTGTGTGTGTGGTGCGTTGGGTGTGCTGTGTGTGCTGTGTGTGCAGGTCTCAGATGAGGCACATGGACGACAACGCCGACCGGAATGCGGTGTTCCGCTACGTGACCAACTTCCTCAAGGACTGCGACGCCACACAGGTACACACACACACACACACACACACACCTGCACACACACACGCAGGGGCACAAAAGATGGACGGGTGTGTGTGTGTGTGTGTGTGGTGTAGATCAAGCTGGTGGCTCGCGAGTTCTACTCCATTTGTTACCGATACTCAGAGATGGCCATGCAGCTCCCGCAAGGCACACACGCACACACACACCGCCATACACACATACACACGTGTCTATGTGTGTATGCTGTGTGTGTGTGTGGGTGTGTGGGTGTGGGTGTGTGGGTGTGGCGGCAATGCAGGTCTGCGTTCGTTGCCTGCGTTGAAGGCGGCGATCGGCAAGCTGCAGCCGGCGCCCCATGTGCTCACACCCATACCCCGGAATTCCTCAAAGTGAGGAACGACACTCACACACAGACACAGGCGGATGGCAGTGTTGCTGTGTGTGTGTGTGTGTGGCAGGTGTGTCTGAAGCTGAAGCACTACACGTACGCCGTCGACGTGATAGAGGTGCCCATTCTCGATCTCAAGCCGAAGGTAAATCTGCACACACAAGAGGGTCTACACAGCACATGTGTGTGTGTGTGTTCTTAGCAAACGTGTCTGTACGTGGAGGATTTTCTGCTGTACTTCTACTACGGCGCCATGATACACATCGGACTCAAGGCAACCACACCACACACCCACCCTGATTACACATGCACTCATTTTATGCGTGTGTGGTGTTTGTGTGTGCTGTGCAGGAGTACCCCCGCGCCATTCAGTTCCTCAATCTCGTGCTCTGCTGCCCCGGCACATGTGTGTCGGCCATCCAGGTGTGGATGGCCCCATAGATGTGGGTGTACTGATGGGTGCGCGTACACATGCGGGTGTGTGTGTGTGAATGTCAGATTGACGCGTGGAAGAAGCTGGTGTTGGTGCATCTGATCGAACACGGCGAGGGCCCCCAGACACCCAAATCCTCACCTGTGAGTGTGCTGCACACATGCACATTCACATGCACATATGCACATTCGCATTCCATGTGTGTGCGCGTGTGTGTGTAGGCGTTGTCTCGTGCTATCGCTCCCTCCAGCGGCCATCACAACTACCGCTCGCAGTCTTCAGGCGCAACGGTATACACAGACACTCACACGAGACATACACAGGGCACAAGCGTCCTCACTTGTGCGCCGTCTGTGCAGGGTCTGTCGCCCTACAATGACATCATCGACGCGTTCAAAAGCAAAGTACCCATCCCCCCAAATGCACTCACATTGGTGTACGTGTGTGTGTATGTGTGTGTCTGTGTGCAGGATACTGTCAAGATGGCCCGTGTGCTGAGCGGCCCCTCCTCTGTCGACATACTCAACCGCGACCAAAACATGGGACTCGCCAAACAGTGCAGCGCTGTAAGATCGACACCACACAAACACACACACACACACACACACGCATCTGTCCATCCATCCACACGCATGTCTCTGTCCATCCATATATCAGGCGCTGCATCGTCGCATGATAGTGAACCTGACGTCTACGTATCTCACCCTCTCCCTCGACGACATCAGACAGCGAGTGCAGCTTCAGGTAGACGCATGAGCGTTGGACGTGTGCCTCTCGTGTGATGGATGGATGGATGGATGTGTGGATGTGTGCAGTCTGTGGACGAGGCCGAGACGATGGTCTTCGACATGATTACACGGGTAAGTGGAGAAAGGGAGAGGGGGGAGAGAGATGGGAATGGCGTGGCGTGGCCCCCCCTACACACACGTGCATGACGATGTCTGCAGGGTCAGATCAACGCGGTGATAGACCACAGCTCCAACCACGTCATATTCAGCGAAGGAGACACAGACGAGGTACACACACCAGACCACACACACATACTGATGACCACCGATGTGTGTGTGTGTGTGTGTGTGTGTGCAGGATTCGACCAAGGATAGTGGGGAGGGCGTGTTGACTCAGCAGCAGATGGACGCACAGGCCAAGCAGATGATCGACATAGGCGAAATGATCCGAAAACTAGACATACAGGTACACATCACACCCACGCCACGACACACCCCACCGTGTATGTGTCCATCTGCGTCCACCCATAGATAGCGGTGGACCCCCATTTCCTCAAGCGCAAGGAAGGCGGCGAGCGCGGCGGCGGGGCCCTCTTCGACGATGAGCGAGAGTGTATGCAGCCACACAACACAACTCCCCACCCCGCACATCTAGGTGTGTGTGTGTGCATGTGTGTATTCAGTTGGTTTCGGCCGGTCGCGTGCGATGCGCTACGGCCCCTCGCGTGTCGACACCATGCGAAACGCATCGCGAAAGAACGTCATGCCCATGCAGGTGGGTCGGTGTTTGATCCACACATTCATCCACCCATTCATCCACGCACTCATCGATCAGGGTCGTTTGCGTCGTGAGGGAGCGCCTTTGCCGCGTGAGGGAGCGCCTTCGCAGCGTCGCTCCCGCCAGCCGGCCATCAAAGACCGAGATAGAGACCGCGACAACCGGGACGGCCGAACGATGGGTACTCACTTGAGAAATCGAGAAACGCATCTGCACCAAAGGATATCTCTCCCTCTCTCTCTCTCTGTGTTTGTGTTTAGGTATGGATGTGGACAACGACATGGAGATGGGCGACGAAGACGACGACGAGGAGGGCGCAGACGGTGAGATGACGCCCCATACACACCCATTCACCCCCCCCCCCATGCATACACACTGCCTGTCTCCTGTCTGTGTGCTATGTGTGCCATTTAGAGGACGAGTTGAACGGCGAGGAGGAGACCCCCCGCTCGGGCGTCAAGCGGCCCTACCAGCAGCGACTCGCAAGTAACCCCACACCCATCCAGGCGCACCCACACCCACCCTCACACCCCAATGTGCACACACAGGTGACGATGTGGATGTGCTCCCTGCTGGCCGCGAGCACGACCCCATGGAGAACGGCGTCGACGCCATTGAAGAGGAGGAAGAGGGACACCACAACAATGGCAACAACGAGGGCGACACCGGCGGCGGGGGCGTACGCGACAAGCACCAGCGAGACCAAGTGAGGTGATCGAGGGATGATAGGTAGGCAGGCCATATGGGAGACACACACGAGGACACACATGGGTTGTGTGTTGTGTGTTGGGTGCAGGTGGACCAGAGCGGTGATGCGGTGATGGCCTCTGCAGACAATGCGCCCGAGATGACCACCACAGAGGGGCGGCTCCAGTGAACATACCGACACCCACTGTACACTTACAGACATACCGGGCAGCAGAGAAAGGACATTTTGTGTATTTTAATCGGCAGCTTTCATGTGTGAGTGCGTGTGCATACCTGCCCGCATTGTTGAAGACCGTTTTTGTGTCTTTGTGTGCGTGAATGGAATGCAATGGGTGGCGGCTGGTGGAATGGGGTGAGGGAGGCGCAAAGCGGCACATAGCAGGTGGACGGCTGGCAGGGTGTGTGGTGCAATGGATTTGTGACGATGACGGTAGATCGGTGTCTTCATTAATTGTTTTATCCATGCGAGTATGCCTTTCGTTTTCAAGATCAGCCTTATTCTCTCCCTCTTTCCCCCTGTCTCGTCGTCGTCTGTGCCATAAAGAAAGCCGGCCGTTTGCTCGTGGAGCCCGGCTATCTGAACACATGCGTGCGCGAGTGAGTGCAATGTCCTGCCTGCCTGCCTGCCTGTCGCCCACTCTCTCCTCACCAAAAATGTGTGTACAAAGACCGAAACTGCTCACAGAAGAGTCGCTCATATGAGCAGATCAATTGTTGTTTGAGCAATTTAACACAGGGCGGCAGATGTCACACGCTTACACACCATACAGACGCAGAGACAGCAAATCTGCAGACACCTACTTCCAAGTCGCACTCTTTACGCCCACAAAGCAAAACCGACATCGAGCAAAACAGACATCGACCAGACAGCCAGAGAGAAGGCCAACAGAGACACCTTAACAGACCCACCTGCAGTCAGTAGGCCTTGTGTGAGGCCACGGGACATCCAAAGCAACACCTCAATGCACAAGCACACAGGCAGCCAAGACACCGACACGCCCAGCCAACGGAGATACCAACACACACCTACATCAAACGGCAGCCGAACAACCACCAGGAAAACGAGAAAGCGGAATAGCAGCCTCCTCTCCTCCCAGACACATGAGATACACATAGACCCCCAGACACATAACACAGATAACACAGCCAGCCAGCCACGAGAGACACACTCCCAATCACAGGGCACCAGGAGGGAAAAACGCCGACAAACGCAGCTCCCGCAGCCACCCGTGCAAGTTGCATCCGCCCCCAAATCCCAATCGTCTAGCTTCTGCCCCGCCTCCCAGCGAATAGGCTTGGTGGGATACATAGGGCTGCCGTCATGGTTTTCTCCCCCATAGGTGCCGTCAGGGAAGAGCGTGCCGTTCTGGGCCTTATTCTCTGTCCATTCGCCATCGAGCCACAAGACAGGACCATAACCGATGGTGTAGTAGGCCTTTCCCTGGCCGTGCCGCTTGCCGTTCTTCCAAGTGCCCTTGTAGACGACGCTGCTGCGGTATCGCAACTCCCCCTCTCCATTTGGCTGCTCGTCTCGTGTCTCGCCGAAGTAATAGCCCAAATGCTGTCCGTTGTCGTCTTTGAGCTCCATGTCGCCCACCTTTCCCTCCCCTCTGTTGGTCTTGGTTCCGTTTGCCCACTCGCCCTCATACATCAGCTCGCCATCATGGCGGAATTCTGTCCCACGACAGTGCGGTTTGCCGTTCTTCCACTCGCCCTTGTAGACGACACGATTGCTGGTGTCTCGCAGTTCCCCCTTGCCGTCTGGCTTGCCGTCTTGTGTCTCGCCGTGATAGTAGCTGTGTCCGGGGCCGTGGTAGTAATACTCTTCCCACGGCATGCCCGTCGCGACGCCGTCTCCCTTCTTCACTCCATTGACCCACACGCCTTTGTAGGTCACCTTGGCGGCAGTGAGCTCCTCGCCCTCACCGTGTTGCTTGCCGTCCACGAAATCGCCCTCATACACGACACAGATCTTGGTCTCGTATTGGCTGCGTTGCTGGTTGAGCACTTGGCATGGCGCGTACTCGTTGCCTCTGCCGTGCCGCTTGCCGTCCTTCCACTCGCCCTTGTAGATGACATTGCTGCGGCCGTCTCGCAGTTCCCCCTCCCCATTCGGCTGGCCGTCTTGTGTCTCGCCGTGATAGTAGTAGCCCAGCCACTGTCCGTAGTCGTCTTTGAGCTGCATGAAGCCCGCCTTTGCCTTCCCTCTGTTGGTCTTCTCTCCGTTGGCCCACTCGCCCTCGTACATCAGCTCGCCATCATGGCTGAGCTCTGTCCCATGACCGTGCCGCTTGTTGTTTTTCCACCCGCCCTCATACGCCTTCGCCATTCGCCCGTCGATGGCCTGACATTCGCTGCCCTGTCCCTCTCGCTTGCCGACTTGCCAATCGCCCTCGTACACGAGACAGATCTTGGTCCCCATTTGGCCGCCTTGCTGGTCGTACACCTGGCACGGGGCGTATTCTTTGCCTTTGCCGTGTCTCTTGCCGTCCGCCCATTGGCCCTCGTAGAGTGAGGTCTGGCCGTCGAGTGTGCGCAGAGTGCCCTCGCCGTGGGGCATCTTGTTGCGGACATTCCCGTGGTACATGCCGCCCTCCCAATGAAGACTCGCCAATGTCGGCTCCTGCTCGAAGGCCTTCAGCTTCGCCTCGGCCTGCAGACAAACGCAGACATCGTGTTGATGTGTTTCTCTCTGCCTCATGGCTGATGTATCCGTGTGTACCTCTTCACATCGGCGTTTCCACTCATCCCTCTCTCTTTTGTATTCGTCGCGTTGGCTCTCGAGTTCTTTGATGCGTTTGTCGCTCTGCTGTCGTTCCCTGTCCATCGCGCGGCGCATGTCGTCCATCATATTCTGCAGCATCTCGCCCGTCACCGACTCGAGCGTCGAGGGGGCCTGCGACCGCCCGTCAGCCATGACGGTCCCGTGACACTCACTGCCAGCCATCAAACAGAAGAGAGTCAGGTCAGGCGCATGGCACGGCAGCAGAGGCTGGTGGGGCCTACCTTAAAAGAACCTCTCACGCCCTCTTCGCCACACGTTGCGAGTCCTCTGTCACTGTCCGCCTTTTTCGAGGCGAGGGAAAAGGACCTCAGCAAGCGCGCGATCGGTTTGACTGTCTGATCCAACAGACAGGGACCTATAAGCGGCATGCTTCACGCATGCTGCAGTGATATTTCAATCGTTGTTTCGGACAGGGGAATCGAACGCACTAACGAACACTCATGGAGATATAGACGTGCAGGCAATGGATGAGCGACACTGCGTCTCCGATGCAGCCGACTGCTTGATTGTCACGATATCGATCAAGAAAGCACGTCTATGTGTCAATGTCACATTTGATGGGCTGTCTTGGGTCTGCCAATCACCTATTTAGGCCCAACAACACACAACCAGACGCTGCAAACAAGTACAGTCCCCCGCAGTAGGACACAGTCTCTCTGGCTTTTTGCCTTACACACGGCATAGCCTCACTCGACACACACGGAAACAGCGTCATAGTGCCCAGAAAGGCCTGGGATCGTCAGGCCCGTAGACTTGCAAAATGTCGGCCATCTTCTTGTTATAGGTGCACATACACAGACACACGGACCAGCACAGCGGAGGCAATACATATGCACCCCTCGCCTATCTCTCGCTTACATGATGAATTCAAGCCCATTCTCGGACGTGAGGATGACTGAATCGATGTTTCGCAGCCTCAGGGCCCGCTCGTTGAGCGATGTGTCGCGGTGATCGAGCTCCAGCACATTGCGAAGACGCAGCCCTAGCTTCACCATCCACGTCGATTCAGCCCGTCGCGGATCAGGGACCTTGTGGTTGGTGATGAATTCCGCCGATGCGCAGTAGAAACCCTTCCCCGCACAGCGATTCTCCTTGCAGTGGGAGATGTCGATCCCGACAGACTGAATGTTCTTGGCGCTCTGCTCGGTGGTGCGGTGGTAGGCAATGATGGCAAACGGACACGACGGGCAGTAGTGGTTTGGATCTTGGTTGTGCAGGTTGTTGGGGCAGCTGCGAATGCGATCTCCATCTAAACAGCCGGTCAGCAGCTGGCGCAATCGTCGATTCTCTCGCTCGATTGCTTCCAGGTCACGGGAGGCCGCGTTGCGGGCGGTCTCGAGGGCGGCTTTCTGCTGGCTGAGCCTCTCCACCTGCTGAGAGAGGACGCTGTTCTGCCGAGAGAGCGTCTCAGTGGCCGCAGATAGATTGTCACGCACCACAAGCCGGTCCGCCCTCTGCTGGGTGAGACTCGCTTCGATTGCCGTCTGTCGCTGCACCTCACGGCCGAGCGCTTCTCGCGTGTCGTTGAGTCGGTCCAGCTCGTGGCGAAGCTGAGTGTTGTCGCCCTCGAGAGCCGCCTTCTGAGCTGTAAGGGCTGCACGGCGCTGCAGCTCTGGGTCGAGGCGCGACCGACTGTACTGCTCATTGGCCTGTCGTCTGGCCTCATCGTCTCTTCTCTGTTGCTGGTGCCGCTCCCGCTGGGCCGCCTCTCGACAAGCATCCTGTTCATCCTGCCTCGCTCTCAGCGCATCCATTTTCGCGCGATGGCACTCCTCCGCACTCACGTGGCCGCGGTACACGAGCCAACTGTTGAGGGACGACGTTGCCGCTGCATTTCGATGGATCAAGAGCCAGTAATGGATCTGACAACGAGCAAAGCCAAGCACAGCACAAACATTTCATGAAGCTGATAGATGAGCCATATACCTTTCCCTCACAAGTCCTTGGCCGTCAGGCCGCCTAGGGTGCTCCCTGAAACGACTGCCTTGAGTGCGAGCTCGACCTGATTCCGATTGCATTGGGGTGTGAAGGATCTGGAAAGTGTGCGACAAGGCCGGTGAGGACCTTTCCTGTAGTTAGCTGAATAGAGGATCTGCTGGGCGGTAAGTCCCAGTAAGAGTGTTTTCACTTTAGTAAGACCGATGGACTGACCAGTCAGTCAAAGTTGTTTCTGTCCATGTATGGCATCATGAAGGGTGGTCAACACAGATCTCACTTCGGTGATGGCTGATAAGATCGTGTCTCCTCAGAATGCTTTCCTTGTCTTTCCTTGTCTTCTTCTCTCTCC